ACACACACACACTTACACACTCATACACTACGGCCAGTGTAGTTGATCAGTTCCCCTATAGCGCATGTGTTTGGACTTTAACCGGAGCACCCGGAGGAAACCCACGCCAACACGGGGAGAACATGCAAACTCCACACAGCGATGATCTTTGCAGGCTCATTGCCTGACTATAGAGATCTGGGTAAGCTCTACTGTACATCTGCTCGTCTGCTTGTGCTCGGGAACAGCAGTCCTTCACCGATGACTCTGATTGGGTGAAATATGCTGAGCCACACCTCTCTAACTGTTATTGAATGATGAAAGGAGGAGCTCAGAAATAAACCCCGCCCCCTACTCAATATTCCACTTGAGTCTCTGATATATGTACATCAGCCTGCAAACATGAGTGTGCTGCAAATCCCTGATCATCCGCATCATCGCCGCACTGACATCAGGCGGACAACAATACACTCAATACAGGATATTAGCCCGAGTAAATCAACACACCACACACACACACACACACACACACACTCTTCTGGACGGCACACGTGTGGCTCTGGTCCTGCAGACACTCGCTTAGCTAGAAGTGTGTTTGTGCTAGATCTCTGGTCTTTAAAGGGTTCGTTCACCCAAAGATGAAGATTCTCCCATCATTTGCTCACACTGGAGGAGGTGTCTGTGTGTGTGTGTGTGTGTGTGTGTGTGTGTGTGTGTGTGTGTGTTAAATCCAGTCTGGGTTATTTGAGTAGTTGTCTAGTGTTTGTCCAGCTCTGTGGTGTCAGCAGTGCTCAGTAAAGTTCCTCCATCATGATGGGAAATGTCTCTCACAGCTCCGGGCGCAGAATAAAGCTCTCCTCTAGGAGTTTAACACACATGTGTAGAGCTTTAGAAACTATTCCAGCAAGTGTCCTCCATCATGTTCAGGCCTGTAGCCCGAGGAGCTGCAGAAGCCAGAGCTCATTACTACATCACTCTGAGAGGATGTGACTGTATAAAGTCACACACACACACACACACGCACACACACACACACACACACACACACACACACACACACACACACGCACGCACGCACGCACACACACACACACACACACGCACGCACACACACACACACATCTCGGATGTGGAGTAAATGATGGGAGAACTGTAACTGTTATATGAATGAGGGCTCTCAGTAGTGTGTACTCATAGAGAGAATCAGTGAGCAGCTTCAGGAGATAGCAGAGGAGTTCAGCAGCAGCAGCAGTGCTCAAACTCATGCTGTGTGTGTGTGTGTGTGTGTGTGTGTGTGTGTGTGTGTGTGTTCTGTTGTCAGGACGAGTCTCTCCAGCGGCTGCAGAAGGAGTCGGAGGCGCTCCAGCACTCGTACGCTCATTACTTTGACCAGACGATCATCAATAACGAGATCGACGACACCATCCGCCTGCTGGAGGAGGCAGTGGAGCTGGTGTGCAGCACCGCGCAGTGGGTGCCCGTGTCCTGGGTGTACTAACCACACACACACACACACACACGCACACACACACACACACACTGATGGACTGCATCCCGGAACTACCAGTGCGTAGTGCTGTATATACCTATACATATATAAATATCTATAAATATGAATATATAAGTGATAGATCTGGTCGTGTGCGGATGCGGAGCGTTGTGGACGTTTTCTACGGTTTTTCTTTTTAAATGTGCGAGACGGCGTCTCCCAGCAATGATGAGCACAGTCAGTCGTGGAGAAGCAGCGCCCCCATTGGTCCAGGCCTGTGGGTGTGGCTCCGTGACCCCGCCCCCCTGGCCGTATAAAAGCACACACACACACAGACACAGGAGCAGCGTCTGCACTGATCTGCTGCTGCGCGTCTCTCTCCATCCTCTGTTTACAGATGTAGGTTTGCACAAGGGCAGTGGAGCTGCTCCTCTTCCTCTAGATGTGTGTGTGTGTGTGAGTGAGTGTGTGCGTGCGTGCGTGTGTCCAGCGCAGACCGACCGGCCCGTGGACACACTCTGACCCTCATGCTCTGTGTAGTGACGTGTTTGTAAATTGTCCTGGGTCCTTGTGCAGATCGGGGAGCAGAATCTCCATTCCTGGATGGATGATGTGAGAAACTGTGCCGTCTTCAAGAGTATTACTGTTACTCAGAGAAACCCAGAGAGGATCTTATTGTGTGTAAATGTTTCAATGGTGCGTACATTTTGCGATTGAAATGAAGTAGTGTGTGCATAAAGCACTGAACAGACTGTGTGAACTCTTCATTTCAGATGTAAACTCCTCTGCCGGTGACCAATCGCTCTTCAACATGTGTTCGTTTGTTTCTTTGTTTGTTTCTTTGTTTTTTTTATCTATTTCCTTTCATGTGTTTCGAAAAAAGTAAATGCTTTTGAAATCAGCCCCTGCGTGTGTGTGTGTGTGTGTGTGATGATTACACCGATATCCATATGGATCAACATTCCCATCAGGCAATCAGATTTAAAGGTGAATTATTATGAAAAACTGGCGTCTCTAAGGCTTTTAAACCCAGTTGTGTGTGTGAAATACTCACCGGCCACTTTATTAGGTACACCTGTCCACCTACTTGTTACTGCAAATGTCTAATCAGCCAATCACAGGGCAGCAGCTCACTGCATTTCAGCATGTAGACATGGTCAAGAGGATCTGCTGCAGTTCAGAGTGAGCATCAGAATGGGGAAGAAAGGGGATTTAAGAGACTCTGAACGTGGCATGGTTGTTGCTGCCAGACGGGCTGCTCTGAGTATTTCAGAAACTGCTGATCTACTGGGATTTTCACGCACAACCATCTCTAGGGTTTACAGAGAATGCTCCGACAAAGAGGAAATATCCAGTGAGCGGCAGTTCTGTGGGCGCAAATGCCTTGTTGATGAGGCCAGAGGTCAGAGGAGAATGGCCAGACTGGTTTGTGCGTGTCCACAGAGAGCTCGGGCAGAATAAAGCCGCTCCACCTGAACATAAACAATGCGCGAGTTCGCGTTTACACACGTGACCCGTCACGGAGCGATATCATAGTTCGGCGGTGACGTCATTGTGTTCCGGGTCTCGCTGTCACTCAGAGAGGCCGATGCTCGATATTACCGAAAATAAACAAAACACCGGCACACCGGACCCGGCAGTTGGCCGATTAGTGAGCCCGTCAGCACACAGTCGGTTAACGGTATCGGTGTCGTGTTCCGGGTCTGCCCGGGTGTCGTGGGGTGCGCCGGTGACGCAGGAAAACAGCCGTGACGAGCAGACGGACACCGGAGGAGCTCGACGGCGACATGGAGGAGCACCGGTTGCAGACTCGGTGAGTGACCGGAGCTGCTCCGACACACGTTTCTCGACGCCTGAAAGTGTGTGTGTTGGATAGACAACAGCAGCTGTTCTTCAGTATCCAGCAGCAGCAGCACATCTGGCGAGTAAGGTGAAGCTTCAGGCCCGGAGACCCAATTGCACGCTCAGACCAGCTCAGAACTGCACTTCCAGACCTATTGTTTTCTCAGACAGTGCCACCTGCTGTTGGGCTGGGTGAAGCGGCAGGTATGGGGACCCAACTGCACGCTCAGACCAGCACTTTCAGGCAAGTAGCAACATCAGATGTTCATGTTCAAATGAAATGTTGAATATATTACGCAATAATCATTTTATTTTAGTGCTATGCAGGTCTACAGTACATCTGTATTATCCATCTGAAAGAGCTACCGAAGACAATAACAGCAACACAATAACAGTTTATCAGTTATTAATAAGTTCTGTAATGATTACTAACACGCTTTTTGGAAATCAAACTATCTGCATAGAATGTACAATATGAGCTCTTAGCTTACAGCAATAATAATCAGCTTGTGTTGTGTGTTTTCCCAGATTGATATTGTAATTCAGAAAGGGAGATCTGCTCTCTGCCAGCACTAATGCAGTCACCAAATGCTGCAGATATTCCCACTGTTTTACTCCAGAGATGAACACAACACTGTAAAGCATTGATTTGATTTGAGGATATTTTCTAGGTAAAAACTTATTATTAATCCAATTATTATTTTCAGCATTTATCCATGCACTGTGTACAGCTTGATGACTTGTAGGAGCTCATGAAAAGTACAGAAAAATAAAGCTTATTGTGAGAAAATTACCCAGAGAACTGTCATTTACTGTGCATGAAGATAATATTCATTCCCTCAGCTCAATACCAAACACTGATAAATGATTAACAACACAATACATGTCTGAACATATTGAAGTAACTGAACAAAATCTATTTACAAATACAATTAATAAAAATACAGCAGAATATACGCATTAAATCAAGATCTAGCATGTTTAATGCTTTATATAATAATGTCTTCAATCATAGCGTAACATTTTATAGTAGAAAATGGTTTGAGTTACAATTTATGAGCAGCTGGATCAGGTTAGTCGATCTGTCAAACAGCAGGTGGCGCTGTGCAGGTCTGAGCGTGTGGTTGGGTCTCCGGGCCTGCAGCTTCGTGATGTTGCATCTGGCGGGTATTCCAGAAAGCTGAGTAAACTCATCATCTGCTAAACGCTGAACTCTCGGTTGATTCACCCTAAACCTGAGTTAGTTGAGGTGTAGAATCTAATCTCTGAGACATGTATAAGGGTCCACAGTGTGTCTCTTCTGCCTGAACGCATCAGTGGTTTCCTCGTCTCCTCATACTTCAGTCTCATCAAACCTTCTGACCAATCAAATGCACTCCAGTATCTGAGATGCCCCGCCCCCTTCTTCTCATTTGTATTTCACTGGCAAATCTGTGAGAAACCTAAAAACTATTGGCTGTTTCTCAAAAGGGGGAGGGGCTACTCTGATGAGCACAGAAGCCTGCAGTATTGATGATGTATTGACGATGAGTCTGCAGTATTGATGATGTATTGACGATGAGTCTGCAGTATTGATGATGTATTGATGATGAGTCTGCAGTATTGATGATGTATTGATGATGAGTCTGCAGTATTGATGATGTATTGATGATGAGTCTGCAGTATTGATGATGTATTGATGATGAGTCTGCAGTATTGATGATGTATTGATGATGAGTCTGCAGTATTGATGATGTATTGATGATGAGTCTGCAGTATTGACGATGTATTGGTGATGAGTCTACAGTATTGAGGTGTACAGGTGTGTTTACATGCACTGCCCAGATGTTGTCCAGGTCCTGCAGTGTCAGAGATTTCTCCTTAATGATGAAGCGCTTAATGATGAAGCGCTGTTCTGTTGGATCCACTCCTGACACACACACACACACACAATGTGGGGTCAGTAGAGGGGGTCAGTGCTGTGGGGTCACTGCTGTGAGGTCAGTGCTGTGAGGTCAGTGCTGTGAGGTCAGTGCAGTGGGGTCAGTGCTGTGGGGTCAGTGCTGTGGGGTCAGTGCTGTGAGGTCAGTGCTGTGAGGTCAGTGCTGTGAGGTCAGTGCTGTGGGGTCAGTGCTGTGAGGTCAGTGCAGTGGGGTCAGAGCTGTGGGGTCAGGGCTGTGAGGTTAGTGCTGTGGGGTCAGTGCTGTGAGGTTAGTGCTGTGAGGTCAGTGCTGTGGGGTCAGGGCTGTGAGGTCAGTGCTGTGGGGTCAGGGCTGTGAGGTCAGTGCAGTGGGGTCAGTGCTGTGGGGTCAGGGCTGTGAGGTTAGTGCTGTGGGGTCAGTGCTGTGAGGTTAGTGCTGTGAGGTCACTGCTGTGAGGTCAGGGCTGTGAGGTCAGTGCTGTGGGGTCAGGGCTGTGAGGTCAGTGCAGTGGGGTCAGTGCTGTGGGGTCAGTGCAGTGAGGTCAGTGCTGTGAGGTCAGTGCTGTGAGGTCAGGTCTGTGAGGTCAGGGCTGTGAGGTCAGTGCTGTGAGGTCAGTGCTGTGAGGTCAGTGCTGTGGGGTCAGTGCTGTGGGGTCAGTGCTGTGAGGTCAGTGCTGTGAGGTCAGTGCTGTGAGGTCAGTGCTGTGGGGTCAGTGCTGTGGGGTCAGTGCTGTGAGGTCAGTGCTGTGAGGTCAGTGCTGTGGGGTCAGTGCTGTGAGGTCAGTGCTGTGAGGTCAGTGCTGTGAGGTCAGTGCTGTGGGGTCAGTGCTGTGAGGTCAGTGCTGTGAGGTCAGTGCTGTGAGGTCAGTGCTGTGGGGTCAGTGCTGTGGGGTCAGTGCTGTGAGGTCAGTGCTGTGAGGTCAGGGCTGTGAGGTCAGTGCAGTGGGGTCAGTGGGGTCAGTGCTGTGGGGTCAGTGCAGTGGGGTCAGTGCTGTGAGGTCAGTGCAGTGGGGTCAGTGCTGTGAGGTCAGTGCTGTGAGGTCAGTGCAGTGGGGTCAGTGCTGTGGGGTCAGTGCTGTGAGGTTAGTGCTGTGAGGTCAGTGCAGTGGGGTCAGTGCTGTGAGGTCAGTGCAATGGGATATCTAATGTCCGTCACTGGTTTCCAGGTCTGATCTTATCATGCCGCCAGTTTCTCTCCGATGTTTTGCTGTCTGTTCTGGGCTTCATCCACACATCTGACATGAGCACATGTGAGCACACAGTGTGG